AAAAAAAAAAAAAAAGAAAAGAAAATGAAGCCATGAGAATGCCACTCTCAGGCACTCTTGTTCTTGTCCCTCAGTGTGGAGGGAACCACCCTGAGGAGCCTGGCAGAGGCAGGGACAGAGGTTGAGGGACAGTGGCACTTGGAGGAATGAAGCTGTGCTGTGGACACTGGGCACACCCTCCTGGAGGGCAGCTGGAGCAGAGGAGCAGAAGTTCTCAGGTGGGTGCTGGTGTGGTGTCCTCGGCACCATGTGGCAGGTTCAGCGCCTGCCTGTGCAATGACACCAGCCTGACCTAGTTCTGCAGAATCTGGCCTGGGAGGTGTCAGGTCAAGGCCATGCTAGGGAGCAGACCCATCGTGGTGGACAGAGGCCACAGAGTGGATATAGTACCAGGAGCCTGGCGAGCCTGGCTAGTACAGCAGGACACAGCAAGGGGTTGTCAGCACACTAGACAGATGGCCAGTTCTGGGAGGGCAGTCCCAGGGTCTCATGCTGGGGGTGGGGGCATCAGGCAAAACACAGGATGTCTGATGGAGTTCTGCTCCTGCCCCCAGCACCCAGATCCCCCAAGAGTCCTCCCAGAACTCAGTGAATGTCTGGGAACCAGATAGGAGGGAGTATATGGTCAGCCTGGGGAGCAGACCCTGGGGATTTGGGGAGCTGTGGGAGACCTAGTGTCATCTCAGAGCCAGAGTGTGTGATGATTGGGAAGTGGTCAAAGCCAGACGTGGTAGCCCACCCCTGTGCTCTACCACTTGGGAGGCCGAAGACGGTTACCTCCCACCCCCCGCCTCCTCCACTGTGTCTACTGCAGAAACCATACAGAAGCAGAAGCCACTGCCCACAGACATGATCCTGCCTGTTTTGGGGTCTTCTGTTCACTAAAGGCCGTCGGGCCCCTGGGCCCCAGAAGTCACAAGTATGGCACTCCCATGCCAGGGACCCGATGTGTGCCTGGGCTGAGCAGGAGCTGCGGCTTGCTGGGGTTTAGTTCCCCATCCTGTAACAACAGCATACTGCTGGTTCTTTTAATGTTAGAGTTTATTGGTCCATGTTTGCAGTCTGTAATGATTCTGTTCCTTGTCAGGAGATGCTTCATATACGCAACCCATCTTCATTCTTTTTAAGGCCCTTCCCTAGCTAGTTTCACATTCTGAATCATTTATCTGATATGTTGTTGGTCACGTTTGTGTTATACCTTCCTTCTAAATCAAGGTTTTATTAGGACCTAATGTCTCCTGGGCGAGCAGTATTGGAGATGGAGCCCAGGGCTCTCGCACTGAGCTACATCCCTAGAATATTTTATTTTTTTTTTATTTTGAGGCAGGGTCTCATGGAGTTTCTCAGGCTGGCCTCAAGCCTGTGATCTTCCTGCCCCAGCAGCCCAAGAAGCTGAGTTTACAGACATGTCCCATCACGCCTGACTAGCTGGGTCTTTTAATGGAATAACTAGTTTTCTTCATGCCATAATAGTTTTTCATTTTGCTTTGTTTGCTACATATTTTAAACTTATAGTTTCATATCCCTTCTCTCATTTGCTGGTTTGGTGAGTTATGTTGGATTCCTCTTTTTTAAAATTCTTATTATTTTGGAAATTCTATAATTTCCATCCCAGCAGTGATCACCTTTTCTTCCTCTATACTCATAATTAGAAGCATTTACATGGCATTCGTTTTTTTAAATAAGGTGCCTGTGAAAATCTCACAACCTAAGACTGGGTGTGGTGGCACGCACCAGTAATCTCAGGGCTTGGGAGGGTGAACACAGGAGGATCACTCCGAGTCTGATCTGTGTAATGAGACCCTGTAGACCCTGTACTAAATACATTTTAGAAAGAAAAAGAAGAAAGAAAGAAAGAAAGAAAGAAAGAAAGAAAGAAAGAAAGAAAGAAAGAAAGAAAGAAAGAAAGAAAATCTCACACCCTGACTTGGCTATGATCAGTTCCCCTCCCGTGTCCCTTGGTCCTTCCTCAGTACATCCTAATGTCATGCCCTGCAGCCCAGGGACTTTCTTTCCCCAGATGGGGACTCTTAGACAGAAGTAACCAGTAAAGGGGAATTTAAAACTGCCAAGCAAGGCCATTGGCTGCACCCTGCTTTCTGAAAGCCCCAGATCTTCTCAGGTGCACCTGTGTCACAGGTAGGGCCTGACCGTTGTGGGCAGGCATCCCTCAAACTCTTGTCAGAGGCCAACAGAGGCCCTGTAGAGTTCTGGACTTTCCACCACCTGGGCCCTGGGGGGTGGGGCGGGCGTGGGTTCTGCCTCAGTCAGAGCCAGCTGGCGACCTGGAGCTTGCAGGCAGTGCTCGAGGGGCTGAGGCTGGATCCTCCAAGAAGCTTGGGCCTCACTGTGCTAGGGCAGCTCACCGGGCCAGGAGTGCAGCAGCAGGAGCCGGTGCCCACTCTCTCTTGTTGTGCCCAGACATGGAGAGCAAAAGATGTGCACTGCTTGGTCAGGGCTGGCAGACAGCACCTGGCCTACGGGACAGGGACAGGGACAGGGACAGGGACAGGCTAATCGGTCCACATGGTGGGGAAAGCTCACTACCTCGGGTGGAAGGCTGGCGTATGCTGCACAAAATGTCCCTCAATGATGCCCCCTTTTAAAGGAAAGCTTTTGCTGCATCTGGACATTCTAGACATAAAGAAGTTGCTGAAGTATGATAAAGTAGAGTTAGAAAATCACGTCTTAGGGCCAGGTATAGTGGTGCACACTTGTAATCCCAGTGCTTGGGAGGCTGAGGCCAAAGGGTTGCTGCCAGTTTGAGGCCATGCTGGGCTACCCAGTGAGACCCTGTGTCAGAGAGAGAGAGAGAGAGAGAGAGAGAGAGAGAGAGAGAGAGAGAGAGAGAGAGACCTATAAAACACCCATTTGTTTATGACAAAATAATCACAGAAAACAAAAATCTTTTGGGAGTAACTTTAAAGTGGAGTTTGTTAGACTAAGGGGTATAGAAAAAATAAAAGTTAGAAAAGAGACAAGGAAGTCATAATCAACAATTCTTGTTTTGTTTTGAGACATGGTCTTGCTGTGCAGTTCGTTGTGCCTTTGAACTTGCCAAGCTGGCCTTGAACTCGCATTAATCCTCCTACCTCAACCTCCTTAGTGTGCTGGGATTACAGCACGTGCTACCACATTCAGAAACTTGGACTTTCAAGGAGACTTCTAGCCTGCTGAGGCAAACACAGGGACCAGGATTCAATCCCTGCAAGCTGTGCTGGCCTCACCCCCAGGGCGCACTGAGCCAGCGACTGAGATTGGGCTTGGTGGCATGCACCTGTAATCCCAATGCTTGAGAGGCTGAACATAGGAAGATCACTATGAGTCTAATCTGTGTAGTGAGACCTTGTGGACCCTGTACTAAATATATTTTTTTAAAAAAATTAGGGAGAGAAAGTAAAAAAAAAAAAATAAGGATGTGTTGTTATGTTTTATATATATAACTTTGGTTTGGAAGCTTAATTTGTTCCCAAAACATGCTTATAATCCAAAACACTTACATACCAAAGCAAATTTCCCTATAAGAAATAATGGAGACTTGGGTGATTTGTTCAGCCACCCAAAAATATTCACATAAAAATGATTACAAAGCCAGGTATGATGGTGCATGGTTGTAATCACGGCACTCATGAGGCTGAAGTAGGGGGGTCACTGCAAGTTCAAAGCCAGCCTGGGGTACATAACAAGACCCTGGGTCAGCCTCCCCATGATTACAATGCTATACTATGATAAAAAAATACAATAAAAAATTTAACTTTTTAAAACCTCCATGGCTGGTGTGAAGGAAACGAGAGGAGAGCAGATGTGTAAGACTAAAAGAATCACTGCCGTCTCTTGGTTCAATGGAATCTTTTTCTTTGCATGCAATTTTGACAAGGAATCTATTCAATATTTGCTTTTGCCTCCTCTTGAGGATTTTGTGGAAATGTGACATTGCATTGTTACTAAACAGATTCATTAGGCCAACCAGATAGCTCAGCAGATTAAAGCACCTGCTTAGGTAGACACAGGGACTGGCATTCAATCCCTGGCTGTTATGCCAGCCCTACCCCAGGGGTGCCCTGAGAGGGTGATAGAGATTGGGCATGGTGGCTTGTGCCTGTAATCCCAGTGCTTGTGCCTGTAATCCCAGACTGAAAACAGGAGGATCACTACAAGTCCAAGCTGTGCAGTGAGGCCCTGTAGTTTCTGTACTAAATACATGGGAAAAAAAAAAAAAAAAAAACAGATTGCTCACTCACACTGCTACAGCTTTATTCAGATGGTACTTTTCTACCAAATTTTGTACTGTATTCATATTTTACACTTCTTTCTAGTTTCATTTGAAGTGAGTGATTCCTCCACTTTTTCTTATCCTCTATAACAAGATCTCCGTAACTTCTGGCTCCTTGGAGATGATCTTCCCCAATCCTGCAGCAAAGGGAGGTAGAGAGCAAAAGAGCCACTGTCTCAATTTTGATCATGTGACATTCAGAATTGTTTTTTTTTTAAAACATCCTGCCTTTATTAATTCTAAATTTAATTGTAACAAGGTACAAAGATAAAAAAAAAGTTATTGTTTTTGTCATAAAAGGTAATTTAATATTTCCTAGTCTACTACTAACTTGTTCATTGTTTTTTCCTCTACTAGATAATTGTATATTTTCACCATTATAATTTCCAAAAGATGCCATGAAAAATCAAGATGATCTGAGGTTCCAGGGACTAACAAGTTTCTTTTTATTATTCTTATCTTCAAATTTTCATTTGACTTTTAAAAAATATAATGTAATTTCTTATTTATGCTTAAGAAAGTTGAGAAACAGTCATATTTTTTATTTTTCCAGGGAATGAGTGAAATAATTTTTGAAGAAGCTCTTCAATTATGAAACTCCTAATAAAAATAATCCTTTAAGTATTGTTCTCGTCCGGGTAATGACGAATGTATGCCCACGTGTTGGAAAAGAGAAGGTTTATATTCCACCTGAATTTCCCTCTTTCGTTCCTTGCATTTTTCTAATTTTTCTCCTACATCACATATCTTTATGTGAAAAAATTCATCTAAGAGTAAGTCAATAGGTCTTTCTTTGTGGAACATTAAAAAAAAATGTACAAAGCCAGCCAAGTCTTCAGATTTGAACAATTTTCCTATAAATCCCAGCACTGAAAAGTTAATATAGAGCCAATCATTCGAAGTCATATTATTTATAAATCTTGTTAATTTTGTAAAGTACATCTCTTTAGCGATAATGTCATCTTCCAGCTGGAAAAAACTCAAAATGGCATTACAAATTTTAAATGCTCCTATTGAGCAAGTTACATGAGCTTGAAAAATATGGAACGCTTCACGAATTTGCGTGTCATCCTTGCGCAGGGGCCATGCTAATCTTCTCTGTATCATTCCAATTTTAGTATATGTGCTGCCGAAGCGAGCACGACATTCAGAATTGTGTACTTCTCATATTGCAAGACATCACTTGTGTCTTAGTTTCTTTTCTCCTTGCTGAGACAAAATATCTGACACTCAAAGTTAAAAGGGGAAAAGTTTATATCAGCTCACAGTTTATAGAAGTTCTAGTCCATATCAGCTGACTCCAAGGCAGGGTAGCACATGGTAGAGGGGCAAGATATCATGGAAGTGGAAAATAGCAAAAGCAACAGAAGAAAAGTGAAGCAACCCTCTTTCTGCCATTTATATTATATCCAGTCTACTGGGATTAGGGCAGTGGATTGATCCAGCAAGTATCCACTCTTAATGAGTCAATCACATACTCTAGATTCAGCCACTTCTGAAAACACTGTGATCTGCCTTTTGGGGGGACATCTAGACACCGCCATAACATTGCACCCTGGGCCCCCAAGACTCATGCATATCCCTCTATGCAAAAGGCATTTATTCTATCTCCAAGAGTTGCCAAAGTCTGAACAGTTTTGGCAGTGCTAAAAAATCCAAGTAAAAAGTTTCCTCTGAGATTTAAGATGAACTCTTAAAACCAGGCATGGTGGCACACACCTGTAATCCCAGCATGGGGGAGGCTGAAACAGGAAGATCACTATGAGTCTGAACTGTGTAGTAAGACCCTGTACCAAATACATAATTTAAAAAAAGATGAACTCTTAGCTGTGAGCCCCTGGGCAAATGAAAAGGTTACACACTTCCAATATTCAATGACACAAGACAGATATTTTGATTGAAAGTTACAAATGAGGATACAAAGGAATAGGACCAAAACAAGTCTAAAAATCCAGCAGGGAAGCCACATACTGGCTCACATCTATAATCCCAGCACTCCCAGGCTGAAACAGGAAGATCATTGAGAGTTTGAGACCAGCCTGGGCTACAAAATGAGCTCAAGGCCAGCCTGAACTGTGTAGAGAGATCTTGTCTCAAAAAAAAGATAAAAACAAACAAATAAAATACCAGCAGGGCAAACATTAAGTCCTGTAGCTCCACATGCAGCACCTGAGGCAATCTGTTGCAAGATGTGAACTCCAGAGGGCTTGGTGGATCTGCCCTTGTAGCGCTTCCAGTGGTTGGAACTCCCATGGCTTCTCTCTTAGGTCTACTTTACTGCTTCCTGGCAATTTTCCTCAGATGATGTATGTGCCTGGCTTCTCTAGACTTCTGGGGTCTCCACTGCACCTTTGGCTTTACACTCAGAGCTTCACACACTGTCCTCTCAGAGTCACACTGTCTGGCCTCCTAGACCATCTTCTGAAATCTGGGTGGAAGTCTTCTTGACCCCATAATTATTGTATTCTGCACATACCTAAAACTGTTGCCACATAAGTGATGCCAAATTCTGCTGCCAACTGGCTCAGTAGCCAGGCTTTCCTCTCTCTTGGCTGTAGGGACCAAGTATCTGGATTGCCAAACACTCTGAATCCAATTCCTAGAAACAAATTCTGCAGAATAGAGAGCCCTTCCCAGTCCTAATTACAGTCCAGGAAGTTTATATCTGTGATCCCATGGAAAACTTATTGGAATTCTATCAAGATAATTCCAGTCTAAAACTTCCAATGCAACCTATGGTGACAATAAAGACCTAAGGCATATCTGTAGTTGTGGGGAGCCAAAGGGTTCTAAGTCCAAGTAGTAAGATGATTAACTGAAACAAAGGTCTTGACCTAAGACTGAACTCAAATTTTATTAATTCACGAAGAAAGGAGTGGCTTGAAGCTATGTGTTATGGTTTGTGTCTAGTTGTCCCCCCAAAGCCTCATGCAATCATGGGGTGACGTCTTGTTACTCATTCTTTTTTATTTTTTATTTTATTTATTTATTTATTTATTTATTTATTTATTTATTTATTTTTGTTATTCATTCTTGATCCAGTGCTGGGATTATGGGTGCAACTGCTGCATCCACCTTGAGGTAGATAATCTGTGTAAAATGTAAGGAGGGGAAAGAGGCTAGCTAGTTTCCCCTCCCTTTGCTCTTTGCTGTTTTCTGCAGCCATGAACCACTGCCCTCTCCTATGTGCCACTCTGCCTTGGAGCCAGCTGAGTATGAACTGAAACTTCCCCCAACTGTAAGCTAATTAAACCTTTCCTTCCTTAATTTTAGGCGTTGGGTATTTTGTCCCAGCAATGAGGAAAAAGTAACTAAGACAATGGGCTACTGTGAGAATGCTGGAAGTATGAAAGTCTGTGAGCTGGGCTAGGAGTCACAAAATCACCTCTGCACTATGCAAAGAAAATGCAGGAAGAGTAATCTGCATAACACAATTGAGGTAGCATGTGATGTTTTGGGATTGGTGCTTCAGCTCTGCATTGATATGTACAGAGATTTATTTGGTATAGGATTTCTCTACATGGCTTGGACTCATAGCAATCCTCCTGTCTCATCCTCCCAGCACTGGGATTACAGGTGTGTGCTGGCACAGGGCCAGCATGGTATGTGGTATCAGGAAACAAACTTTGGTCCTTGTGCTTGCCAGGCAGGCACTTAGACCAGTGAGCTCTCTCTCTAGCCCAAAGAGATATCTTGAGGCTCATCCTAGCCAACAGTGTGGAGCACAGCTCTCCACCCCACCCAGGCTCACACATGTCTTTGGGAGCTGCAGGGTGTGGGAACACTGTCTTCTCCCCTTGCTACAAACACTTCACACCAGCTTCTTGGCTGGAACAATTTGCATTGCTTAAAGCCAAAGGAAGGGATAAGGAAAAGTCCTAGCCAACTCTGTACATATCAATGCATAGAAATAGGGCCAGGTTGAGCCAGAATGGAGACAACTGCTTTTCTTTCAAGAAGAGTCATCCAGATGGTCCTCCTCACTCTAAGCTTCAGCCATTCTGAAACATGGTGCTTGTGGCTTCTTGTTCCAAGCAAAGTCTTTCACTTTTGTAATTTTGGGGCTGAAAAGACTGGAGTACTGTTGCTTCTTGTGACACCTTCAGGCCATTTTTTCTGTTCCTTCTCAGCAATCAAGAGCTTTGCTCTCTCTTTGCAATCTACAGCTTTACTGGAGCTTCTTTTCTGGACAAACTCACAATACTTTAAATCATTTTGCTGGGCTCTTTGCTTTTGATTCTCAACATAAATCTGACTAAAAGACCCAACAGCAGCCATCCCATCACCTCAATATTTGAGTGCCTTGAGATTTCTTCTGCCAGATTAATTAGTTCAATACCCTTAATCTCAGTCTCAGGCAAAGTCTCTGGACATAAGCAAAATACAGATAAACTCTGCCAAGCTGTAATGTGCATCATCTCGACTCCAAAAGCCAGTGTAGTCTTTTTTCCCAGCAGAAACCTCCAGAGCCTCATCTTTACCAGCAGGACTTCAACCTTCTGATCTTCAGAGCTCGGACCAGAATCTCCCATACAGAACAGCCCAAGGTATTCCAGCTCTACTTCTTTAGCCTGGATCTCCAAGTCATTCCAAGCTCTTCCCATGAGCCATTTTCAAAGGCTCTTGAGCCACACAATCAGGTAAGATCACAGTCATTACCCCACTCCCAGTACTAAATTCTATTATAGTTACTTTTCTCATTGCTGAGACAAATACCCAACAGCAAAATTTAAAGGAGAGAAGGCTTATTTATCTTGCAGCTTGTAGAGGTTTCAGCTTAGAAGTGACTGGCTCCAAGGCAGGGTGGCACATGGCAGAGGGGCAACAGTTCATGACAGTTGACAAGAACAAAAGCAATGAGAGAGAAAATTGCCATGAAAGGCTGACTTTAAAGCCACTTAGGAAGAGAAATGGTTAAAGATTTCTCTAAGTACTACAGAGGTGTATATCTGTCCCTTGAGCTGATAAAGATGAGGGAGGCTCTAGACCACCAGGGGCCTAGAAGATGCTTGAAAGTCATAGCCTTGGTTAGGTCATGTGGACAGCTTGCTCCTATACATAGAAAAGCACTCAGATTCTTGGTGAAAGTGTTTCTCTTTCTAGAGATTTAAAGTTCACACGCATAAGAGTCGAGGGCTGACACAACACCCTCTAAGTATTTTTTGTTGCTTCACAGATATGATTGCATGCTGCAGATGAAACTGTCACACCTGATGCCTGGAGGAGGTATTGCCTGCTCACAGGGTGAGCAAAGAGAGAAGTGTGCTTTGCCTGGTAGTTTTTTTTATTTTTTTTTTTTTATTTTTTATGAGCAGAATATATTTATTGAGAGAAAGAAAGCTCCTGTCCCAAGAGAGGGATGGGGGGGCGAGCGGGTAGTTCCCCCCCTTTTGTTCTTTAAAAACAAAACAAAACAAAAACAAAAACAGGGCCCTGGCTGTGCAGCCCAGGCTATGCAGCTGTGCTAGAACCACAGGTGTGCGCTGCCGTGCCTCACAAGCGCATTGAGACTGCTTAGCTGCGTGGTGGTGAACCTATGGCACCCCTGGCATTTGTTTTTCTTTTAAGACAAAAAAATGGTAATGCATGCGTTGTTTTTTCTAAATTAAAACCTCCACATTCAGGTTTAAATGCAGTGTTGGTACTCTGTGATAAATAAGTGGGTTTCAGGTTGTAGTTTAGGCATCCATCTCTAAAGATTTACCACCACAGATCCAGCTGTCGCTCTATCTGCACATTGAAGTTAATATTACTGGGCTATTAAAGAATTAGTCCTGATGTTCAAATTAGGGTAAAAATAGAAATAATTTAGAAATATAATTCCAGTCAAATTAAATGAGGAAGCACTTCCTCTGTTACATACAGTTCAAGGCCAGGATGAACTACACAGAAAGAACTTGTCTCAAGAAGAAGGAGGAGGTGACATGCCAGTTGCTGCTATGATGTCTCTTGGGTAGATGGTTGTTCAAAAAGAAGGGGGGTAGTGAATGAAAGCAAGAGACAGGAAAAAGAATATTGTGGGACTGTCCTGCTTCAAGGTTGTATATGGTGAGAGCTTTGGACTTATGTGTAAACATAAGAAGTATATAATTCTTTATGCCTATTTTTAAAATATATTCTAATTTATAAATGTTTTTTATTATATTCTGTAGGGACTTAAAGTTCAACATATCAATACTTGATGAAAAATACCTGTTCCATATTATGCCTAAGATGTT